ATTCTATTCTATTCTATTCTATTCTATTCTATTCTATTCTATTCTATTCTGTTCTGTTCTGTTCTGTTCTGTTCTGTTCTGTTCTGTTCTGTTCTATTCTATTCTATTTAGGCAGTTAACAAAAAGCACAAATACAAATGATTTTTATGAACAAATTTCTATAAGTCTTTTTCAGAAGCGTTCTAGTGATTTCCAGGGAAACTGAATGGGAAAGTTCAAGCGACCATGAACATCAAGACCACCAAAACGTCATGAAAAAGTCACAACTGTAGTATGACTCATGAGTACGGCATATTCGTGAACTGTGCCAGCTTTCCGTTGAGTCATATAAAACAGCCACTTCAAAATTATATTGGTAATAATTGAATTGAACATGACTGCTGATGCCTTAGATGGGAAAATCCTTTTTTTTTTTTTTTTTTTACTCATAGTGATATGGAACTGTCCTCTTCTTCTTCTAGAGAAGCGTTTCTCAACCTTAGCAGCTTCAAAATGTATGGGCTTCATTGGGCTGGGGAATGCTGGGTGTTGAAGTCCACACACCCTAAAAGTCCACACCATCTTCTAAGGTTGAGAAGTACTCTTGTAAAATCTACAGTTCTGGGATTTCCCAGTGGAATAGTATTCAAATGTTCATCAAGATTTTTGCTTAGCTTCCGATGGCCAGCCAAAGTCATCCCCATGCTGCTACTTACCAATGGATAATACAGGAATGGTTTAATGTGAATCTAGTTTAAGCATTTTGTCAATTCTGGAAATAAATCCTGGGAATAAATCAGGAACTGCTGATTCCCTTTCATTTTATGTAGTCTTAAGCCCGTGATGGCAAACCTATGGCATGCGTGCCAGAAGTGCCATGCAGAGCTATCCCCCCAGCTCACATAAAGCACACCAGGAAGCTAAGCTTCCGGTTTCCAGCGCATGCATGCGCACCAGACACCTGGTCTTCCTGTTTCTGGCACGCATGTACGTGCGAAGACCAGCTGGCCAGTGTGCATGCGCGTGCCAGAAACCAGAAGCTCAGCTTCCCCGTGCATGCATGCATGCATGCTTGGGAGTGTTGCTCTTCCAGTTTCTGGCACTCCAGCATGTGCACAACCGTGGAGCTGCTCTTCCGATTTTCCAGTGTGCCTCTGCACATGTGCACATGCTCCCGTTTCGACACTCGGTGCCAAAAAGATTTGCCAACACTGTCTAAGCAATCACTACTACATCTCTGTGATTAGACAAAGAGATTTTTGCAACAGGGACTGATGATAGGGCTAAGAAATCTATAACCAGTTGGCTAGAAGTCTGTAGAGATTCTCAGTCATCCAAGCAATGATTTGTCCCAAAGGTGCTTTTTTCAAGAGGCAACTAGATTTTCTTGTTTTTTTCTTTGAAGATGTTTCACTTCTCATCCAAGAAGCTTCTCAAGCTCTGACTGGAAGGTGAGAAATGGAAGGATTTATATTCCTTGCAGACAGCTGGTCATTTCCATCCTTTTTAGAGAGTCATTGAGGCTACTTGGAGGTTTGTCTATGTCCTCAGAGTCACTTGAGTAGTGCTCCTGGTCCCTGAATTTTTCTCTCTCTGGAAATTCTACTACAGGAACCATCAGTACTACTCAGGATGCAAATGACCAGATGTCTGCAAGGAATATAAATCCTTCCATTCCCCACCGTCCTGTCAGAGCTGAAGAAGCTTCTTGGATGAGAAGCAAAACATCTTTAATCAAAAAACAAGAAAGTCCAGTTGCCTCCTGAAAAAGCACCTTTGGGACAACCAGTTGGTTAGTGAAAAATCTACCATGATGAAACCACTTGCTTCCATATAAACAGTAAGTCATGTTCACATTATTGAACATGATTTCACGTTCGTTCCTATGGAAATTTCTGTTCAAATACCACAATCTTCAATGGACTTTATCAGCATTTTAAAGATAAAGTTGATTATTAAGTTATAAATGGTTACATTTCACAAATAAAAACAAACACAGCAGAAGTATTTTTTAACTTTATTTTAAATCATGCATACCTTTCAACGAAGCCTTCTTTAGGACTTTCATGGCATATAGATGGCCAGCATCAGGACCGATTATTTTTCTCACAAGGAAAACCTCAACAAACAAGAAAGATTAAATACATTATGACACATTACTAAAATGTGCAAATATCTTATGTAGTCCAACAAATTTCTTTCTAGTAACCACTAATTCTAAATGAGCTGATGAAAGGCATGCTATGTAAGAGGAGAATAATATTTCCAACACCTGTTTTGTTTTGTTTTTACAAAATCTTAGTTCTCCAAAATTAATTTTACAGTAATAAAATATTCCACTGCAAAGAAATACTAAGCAATCCCATAAGAACACAGCCTAAACCTCTGCAGATCTAATTGTGGCCCTTGAAAACACACACACACACACACACACACACACACACACACACACAAAACCTATCACCAACTCCATCATCTAAAAGTTCAGTATAGATTTTATTCCCTTATTCCTTAAATCAGACTTTTTCAACCTGGAATCCTTCCAGATATATGACATTGAATTCCCAGAATTCCCTAGCTAGGGAGGCAATTGCTAAGAATTCTGGAACTTCATACACAGAACTAAACAATCTGTATTGCTTTCTGGGTTCATTGCCATTAAAACCAACTGTTGAACTGTTGAAGTGCAGATGTTCCAAAAGATTAAAAAGCCACTTTTAATCTCATGAAGAATTAACCAGTGATTTAGCCAATGCTAGTACAAATCTAGCATTGCAGCATTGCAACCAGAGAAGAACATAAGATATTAGGTTCATGATGAAAAACAAAGAAGCTGCTAACAGGGTCTAGACACCAATAAGGAAAAAAAATCTAAAAGTGTTGTTTTCCTAGCACATAAGCATCTGGAGCACTTTGGATTCAAAAGTTTCAAAAGCTGGTTGCACTTCTTGGCAACTCTTTAAAGCAACTATGTCTTTTTTTAATTGCATATCTACTTCCCAGTCTCTACTTCCCAGTCCTAGGAAAATACACATGTTCATGAATGGAGGCAAATACATGTGATCCAGGATAATATTGCTGGATCCAATCTGGGATTCCAAGCTTTCAGACTCGTGCTGGAACCCATCGTTAGAGAACTTGAGATCCGGCAGCCAAATCAGATGAGGAGGTAGTGTGGGAGTTTAGGGAAGAGGGAATGGAGCTGTCAGAGAGAAAGACAGAGGCAAAGCCTGGGTTGTCCATCAGCCCTCAGATGGAGAATCAATCCTGCCCTGTCTTGTTAATTGCTGCAGCGTGGTTTGTGTTGGTTTTTATTTATAATCTATATGTACTTTGGGTTCGGATGGAATTTCTTCCCTTTAAAAACTGTTCTTGGGAGAGTTTTTTTCTCCAGCTGATGATAACTGAACATTGGGGGCCAAGTTGGAGGTATTAAAGGGACTTGACCTATTTTTGTGACTTTGTTGCTTTTGTGCCACACCCCAGGTCATCACACTTCCCAGTGCTAAGAATACAGTATTGCAAGCTAATTCTGCCCACTGCCAGCAGTTCTGTCCCGACCAGCTCAAGGTGGACTCAGCCTTCCATCCCTCCGAGGTCGGTAAAATGAGGACCCAGATTGTTGGTGACTATCTAAACGGCTTAGAGAGGGTTGTAAAGCACTATGAAACGGTTTATAAGTCTAAGTGCTATAGCTATTGCTACTGAAATGCTCACAGGTTTTACTATAGTATGTCCCCCCCAACACTTAAAAACACTTAGCTTGTATCCAGTAGAGGAATAAAATCAGGGGCTACATGGGACATTTAATGCAAATTTAAAATAAACATGGTTTCTTTTCATTGTTACCTTTCCAAACGATCCTTGACCAAGGACTTTAAGCAATTCAAATTGTGCTGGATCTGCTTTTTCACAACCTTCTTTCACATGATGGGTAATAGGAATCTCTTTGATACTTCCTTCATCCTATTGAAAGAGAGAGAAAAAGAAAGAAAGAAAGAAAGAAAGAAAGAAAGAAAGAAAGAAAGAAAGAAAGAAAGAAAGAAAGAAAGAAAGAAAGAAAGAAAGAGGGAGGGAGGGAGGGAGGGAGGGAGGGAGAAAGGAAGGAAGGAAGGAAGGAAGGAAGGAAGAAAAACTGCTAAGAATGAGTGCTACATTAGGTATCTACACCCTGCTTGTTTACCTAGAACAGGGGTCTGCAACCTGTGGCTCTGGAGCAACATGCGGCTCTTTTGGCCCTCTGCTGCAGCTCCCTGTTGGCTGATCCCACCACTGGTTGCCCCCCCCCCCCCCCCCCCCCCTCCCTCCTCACCCAGCCTGAGAATGTAAGAGTGATGGCAGGGGATGGAGACTCGTTCCATATTCCAGAGCAGGAGGTGACTGGGTGGCAGTGACTGAGTTGGCCATGCCCACCCACACCCACTGGGTGGGAGTCATGTCGAGTTGGCCACGCCCATTCAGTCACACCAGTCGTTAAATTATTGGCTCCCGGGGTTTTCTTTTTTGTGGGAAACGGGTGCCAAATGGCTCTTTTGAGTGTTTAAAGTTGCAGGCCTCTGCTCTAGAAGGTTGTTAATCCACAGTTGTAAAGGATATTGTTTATAGTTTATGACTTGTAACAAACAAAGAGGCAAAGATGGCGTACCACTTTTGAACAAGCTACTCAAATATAAATAATTGGAGCAGAACTATAGTTCACAATCTGAGTAAATGTATAGTAAAGCTTTTAAAAAAAAAAAGACTTGGCTATTTATACAGTAACTCTATCATTGTAGAATCCAGCGAAAAGGCACTCAGAAGCGACTCACTATTTTCTAGACTTTTGAACACACCTGCAGAATTTCCCTGACCTTTAGCTTTCAAGATTAAAAAGCATAAATATTTATTTCAGTTCATAAGGCTGAGGCTCTTTAAATTTTCTTGATTTTTCCATAATCCAAAAATAACATATTACAGGGGGGAAAAGGCAGGGTGCAACCCAATATTACTTTACCAAGGAATAATTCACCCTAATTTGACTTATTCTGCGTTCTCTGATAAATAAAATTGCATGATTAATAATGACCTTGCAAAAGAAATGTCTTCTAGAACTCCAGATTCTCTCCCATCTTTACTCAAAACTTCCTTGAAAAGAACATTGAGCCCAACATTTCTTTGCCCAGCTTTTCCATCACTTTAATCATTTACATCAGTGGCTTTTATTCTTTTACAGAATAAGCAGAGTGTGAAGGGACCTTGGAGGTCTTCCAGTCCAACCCCCTGCTCAAACAGGAAGGCCAATACCATTTCAGACAAATGGTTGCATGGGGTCTTCTTTAAAACCTACAGTGTTGGAGCACCTACAAGTTCTAGAGGCAAGGAGTTCCACTGGTTAATTGTTCTCACTGACAGGAAATTTCTCCTTAGTTCTAGGTCGCTTCTCTCCTTGATTAGTTTCCATCCGTTGCTTCTTGTCCTGCCCTCAGGTGCTTTGGAGAAGAGGTTACAAATAACAGATAATCAGAGTTGGAAGGGACCTTGTAGGTCATCTAATCCAACCAGCTGCCCAAGCGGGAGACCCTACACCATTTCTGACAAATGGGAGTCCAATCTCTTCTTGAAAGTCTCAAGTGATGATGCTCCCACAACTTCCGAGGGCAACTTCTGTTCCATTGGTTGATTGTTCTGTCAGAAAGTTTCTCCTTATTTCCAGGTTAAATCTCTCCTTGTTCACTTTCCATCCATTATTCCTTGTTTGGCCTTCGGGTGCTTTGGAAAATAGCTTGACCCCTTCCTCCTCTCTGTGGCAGCCCCTCAAATATTGGAAGACCGCTGTCATGTCTCCCCTGGTCCTTCTCTTCCCCAGACTAGCCATGCCCAGTTCTTGCAACTGTTCTTCATAAGTTTTAGTCTCCATTCCCCTAATCATCCTGGTTGCTCTTCTCTGTACTTTTTCTAGAGTCTTAACATCTTTTTTATAATGTGTTGACCAAAACTGGATGCAGTACTCTAGGTGTGCTCTTACTAAGGCTTTATAGAGCGCTATTACTACCTCCCTTGATTTCGATTGTACCCCTCTGTTAATGCAAATTAGGATTGCATTAGCTTTTTTGGCGACTGCTGCCCACTGCTGGCTCATATTTAGCTGCTTGTCCAAGATCCCTCTCACAGTTACTGCTATTGAGTCTGGTTTCACCCAGTCTATATGTGTACTTTTAGTTTTTCTTGCCTAAGTGTAGGACTTTACTTTTCTCTACATTGAATTTCATTTTCTTAGATAGGGCCCAGTGTTCTAGTCTGTCAAGATCCATCTGGAGGTTGACCTTCTCTTCTTTGTGGCAGCCCCTTAGATATTGGAACACTGCAATATTTTGTTCAGGTGATACTAGAAAGCATGTTAGCACTAGACTTGCGTGCCCTAAAAAGGCACCCCTGTCCAAGAAAGAAGCAATTAAAAGGTAGAATCCATGTTGCCTAGTGACAAACTAAAAAGAAATGGTATCCATCAGTCCAAGTTGAAGTGTCAATATCCAATATTTAATGATGATGCTTTTCACTGTTGTTGTTGTTTTTAATTATCATTTACATGAACCGATCTTAGCAGTTCATCTGTTTTCTATGTTTAAAAGTGATCTGAGGTAACCTGGATCTGACAGTAGAACGGGTTTCTGTGGAAACTGACACAATAGTAATTAAATAAGAACTTAAGAAAACAACACTTTTGAATGCCACTGTCAGTGGAAACGATGTTATACTCGATTATTACCATAATCGGAACACTTGCTAGCTGAGTCATCGTAGACCTCACACAACTGAAAGATCTGAAATGCTACAGTGCTTCCAGTGAATTCTCAATACTGAGCGGTAGCCACATAATAGAGAGAGAGGGGAGGGGGAAAAAAAGATTTTGAACAGAATTTGGAAATTCAACAGCTGTTAAGTGTGGGCAGCAGCTACACGCGCAGCAGAACAGAAGAAAAGAAACATGTGTTGTACAACTGCATAATGCTCCATCAGCTTCCAGCTGAGTTCAGTTCTGGCCTAAACATCTTCCAGAAAACTTACATTTTCTTCTTGTTTCTAAAGTCCAGTCTCGTAGTTAGGAGATTGGAATGCAGAAACAAGAAGAAAGTGACAATGCAGATGTTCACAATAACAGTGAAATGTCAACCTGTATATTATGTTGGTGTCAAACACTAACGGTCTAATATCATAACCGAGTATGTACATTGTTGCTATGCTTGATGATGAAACCTGAGATTTAACCTGGAAATAAGGAGAAACTTTCTGACCGTGAGAACAA